ACGGACCTGCTTATTGATTGCTGTGCATACAAACAGGGTCAGGGACATCCGCCCATACCTAGATACAAGTCTAGAGATTAAAGAGTTTCCCTTCTATAACACTGTTTATATATTAAAGAAGTTCTTCTCATATAACATAATCTGTGTGGAAGAGTTTATAATTTTCTTTGTGTATAATACAGATTTACAGGGAATTTACAAGACTCCCCTCTTTGTGGGAGCAGTCTGCACTGAATGGCTTCAAAATCCACCTGCCCAGGATGACTTTCAGGATGTGACACTTTTCAAGTCCTACATGCGATACCTGTTCTTAAAGCACAAAGCGACAGCTGAGCCTCTCCAGGCCACTGTGTCCTCATGTGGGCAGCTGGCCTTGACAGGGCTTTTCTCTTCGTGCTTTGAGTTCAGTAGTGATGACCTGGCAGAGGCAGGAGTTGATGAAGATGAAGAGCTCACCACCTACTTGATGAGCAAATTCACTGCCCAGAGACTGAGACCCGTCTACCGTTTTTTAAGTCCTCTGTTACAAGAATTTCTTGCTGCCATGAGGCTGACTGAACTCCTGGGTTCAGATAGGCAGGAAGACCAAGAACTGGGACTTTATTATTTGAGACAAATTAACTCACCTCTGAAAGCTATAAACTCCTATAACGTATTTTTGAAGTATGTCTCTAGCTACTCTTCTTCAAAGGTGGGGCCACCAGTTGCATCTCATTTGCTTCGGTTGATGGATGAGAAAGACCTGCTGGAGAACATGTCTGAAAATGAGGAATACATGAAGCTCCATCCAGAAACTTTACTATGGTGGCAGTTTGTTAGAGGGTTGTGGCTGGAGTCTCCTGAATCTTTCTCTTCATTTATTTCAGAACATTTATTGAGCATCGCTCTAAACTTTGCTTATGAAAGCAACACGGTTGCTGCATGCTCTCCATTCATTTTGCAATTCCTTCGAGGAAGAACACTGGCTTTAAGAGTACTGAATTTACAATACTTTGAGGACCACCCAAACAGCCTATTACTGTTGAGGAGTTTAAAGGTTCGTATAAATGGAAATAAAATGTCATCTCATGTAGATTACTCATTCAAGACCTATTTTGAAAACCTACAGCCACCAGCTATAGATGAGGAGTACACATCTGCCTTTGAGCATATAAGTGAATGGAAGAGAAATTTTACTAAAGATGAGGAGATCATAAAACACTATGTAAATATCCGGCCCAGGGCCCTACCTGACATCAGTGAAGGGTACTGGAAACTGACCCCCAAGCCATCCAAGATCCCTAGACTGGAAGTTGGAGTGGTCAACATGGGTCCAGCAGATCAAGCACTGCTCCAGGTCCTAATGGAAGTCTTCTCAGCTTCAGAGAATATTGAGTTCCATTTACTCAACAGCAGTGGCTTTCTTGAAAGCATCCGCCCAGCTCTGGAGCTGAATAAGACCTCTGTCACCAAGTGCTCCATGTCCAGGATGGAGCTCAGCAGAACAGAACAGGAGCTGCTTCTCAGCCTGCCTGCCCTGCAGTCTCTTGAGGTCTCAGGGACAAATCAGTTACCAGGTATTTCCAAGTGTGTTCACACTGTGTTTTCTCATTCTTAGCTTTATATTAAAGAACCTTCCCAGGCACAAGGCCATGAATGTGCCTTGATAGGAGACATCTAAACACTTTCACTGTTTTGGGTCAGTGAAAGGCCCTGGATCATAGAACAGATTTCTAATAACCCAGACAACACTAGGAAAACATTCACACCATTGTTTAATCTTCTATGATGGTTTAAGTGTGCTTTAATTGCTTGTTAGTGATAAATGGTGGATCCTGAGTAGAATGATGCTGGAGAATCATCTCTACTCTGAGTGCTCTCTCATTTCACCTTCCCACCTGCAATCTGCAAGTCTCTAGTTTTTCCACATCTCCACCCCTGTTTTGCTTTTGATTTGCTTTTCTTGGACACAGTCTAGTAAGTCATTACTCTCTCCTCTAGTTCAGGCTTCAGTTCTCATGACTGAGACTCTTCTTGTGACTGTGTACCAAGTGTGCTTGAATTCTTGTCATTAAACTTTTTGTCAAGGTATGGAGGGTCATACCTGCACTCTGTGGAATCCAAGGATTTAGGGAAGAGAGCTGTTCTGACTTTGAGACCAGCTTGAGCTATATAATGAGTCTGGGCCAGGCAAGGTTATGGAATAAAACTATCTCAAAGAAAACAAAACAGAATCTTTGGTGTTTTGTTGTAGGAGTTCTTTGTGTATTGTGGATTTAAATCCTTATGTTATAGACAGAGTATTCGCCTACCGTGTGCAAGACCCTGGGTTCCATTGTAGAGTGACAAAAATAAATCTATCAAAACCTTTATCAGTCACTGTGGCAGAAATTTCCTGCCCAATGTATTTGTAGAGGGAGCCCTGCCATTGGACAGGGAAGAGGGAGGCAGAGCTAGGAGTTGGTAGGAGGGAACAATGGGAGAGAGATGAGATGGCAGCAGACGTATATCTGCATATCTCTAGCAGTCTCAGGTAGTTATTTATATCAAAAGGTTAGATAATTGGGATAACAATTCTAATTGTGTGAGCATCTTGTGTATTGAGTATTTGTTGACAAATAAACCCCTAGGTTGACTTTAAGCATCTAGAGTTTTGATTTACTTGGTTGTTAGGTGGTGTGGAAGCTGTCCATAGGATGGACAACTGTGGCATGGGGCTAGTGTGGCCCCGCTGGAGAGCCTGTTTAGATAAGAACACCCGGCGGTGCCAAGGTAGCCCACTGGTAATGCTCAATTCTGTCAACATGGTGCCAGAACCATTAGCTGGTGGTCATCTTTGCACCACAGGTGCCACCATTAGTGCAGGAACTTAGAGCTGGCATCCAGGAGGCCACTGAATTTTCTAATACTTCCTGCTATAAGTCACATGGTTCAAAAACATTTTTTTACCATTCTAGATTAGATTGTCATTTCATCTGTTTGTGATGTTCTGATATTTCATCTCTTTGTGTATGTTTTGGTGCATGAACAGTTGTTAATTTTGATAAGGCCTTTAATAGTCGAGGTCCAGTAGAGGAACTTGTAGAGAATTATAGAATGAATCTATATATAAACAGAAAGGGAATTTCTTAGAATGGCTTCCAGGCTGTTGTCCAACTAGTCCAACAATGACTCTACCAATAGACAGTCTATGAATCTAGTAGTTATTCAGTCTATAAGACTGGGTATCTCAGCTGGTCTTCAGTATATGCCAGAATCTGAAAGAAGGAGGCTCTAATGCCACTGTAGGAACGGGCTTGCTAGTGAGAGGGAGAGCAAGCAGAGAGAGAAAGAGAAAGAGAACTTCCTTCTTTCTCGTGTTCTTTATATAGGCTGCCAGGAGAAGGTATGGCCCAGAGTAAATGTAGATCCTCAGAGATCCAAAGTAGATGTTGAGCTTCCCAATTCGAATTTTTACTTAGAGAAAAAAGCCTCACAGTTGTACCCAGTCATGTAAATTATAATTAACTTTTGAGGTAGTCAAGTTAATTACCAATTGCTCAAGGTCCAATTTTTTTTTTGCTACTGCTTTTTAGATTGTATCTATGGATCCATCATCATAAAGTCCAAGATTCTGAACATTACCTTTTTCTTGAGTTATATGGCTTTAGCTCATACATGTGTCATTAATCCAATTTTTATCCCTTATGAGTTGAAGCAGGAGTCCAGATGAGTGTTCTTTTGCATGTGCAAAATTAGGTATTGCCACACTGTTGGTAAGGGAGATGTCAGTTATTTTTGTGAGTCTAAAGACCAGTACAAGTGCTGCCCTAGAGTCCATCCATGATAAACAAATGCTGCAGCTCGCAGTATCTTCATGGATGTGCTTCCTAAACAAATGTTAGTATGCTGAGAAGTTTCATCTTGGAAGTATGACTATGGCTAAAGATCACAGCACCTTGAGAACTTGCACTTGGGGCTCTTGGGTGATGAGAACGGTGTGCTGCTTTCCAGATCAGCTCTTCCCTAACTTGGACAAGTTCCTGGGCCTGAAAGAACTTTGTGTGAGACTAGATGGCAAACAGGATGTGCTCTCAGTGCTTCCTGGAGAGTTCCCAAACCTCCATCACATAGAGAAGTTATCCATCCAAACCTCCACGGAGTCTGACCTCTCCAAACTAGGTAAGGATGGTGCTTGAATCTCCAGTTCATGTCTCAGCTGGAAAAGTTACTTGGATAGTAATTGTTAGAACCATTAAAGAGTTCATTAAAACTTCCCTGGGCCTGGCAGCATGAACTGTGGGAACAGCACCTTTTCTTGGAGACTTATTGTAAATCTTGTGTTTTTACTATATGCTAAGAACTGTTCTGAACACTTCACAAATAATTCACTCTTCACTGTGTGAGAGAGGATACTGTGACTGTGGTCACTGTGCATCTGGGAACGTTAGTCATAAAGATGTTAAGTGATTTCCTCAAGTTTCTTCAGCTAAGGGAGGCCATTGCTTATGTACCCACAGCCCTGCAGTCAGCTGTGATAAATATGAAACTTTTATGCATCCTCATTCAAGGAAACATAATCTTTCCTTCTGTTCTTCCTACATATTTATCAAGCACCATTTTCTTGACAATTGGGCTTTCTTCCTCTTCTGAAGCAACTTTTCCTCTGCCCTGACTTGGTACTGTGCAGTTGCTTTCTGCTATATTCCTGGCCTTCATTGCTGAACATGCCAGCTTACCTCAAACAGCATGATTTTCCTCCCTACCTCTTCCTCATCATCTTCATCTTCCTCTCTTCTTCTTCATTTTTCTCTCCAAAATTATTTATAGAGTTATTTTATTTTGATTTTAAGTTATTCTTACATTACTACTTTACACATCTGCTTGCTGAGGGAGAAGGAAATTTTACTGGAAACAATTTGAACATTTCCCCATTTTTCCTAGCCTCATGGATGATGGACAACTGTGAAGCCATGTTTATGAAATCCATCATTTGGAAAAATGTTTTAAAGTATGATAGGCCACTTGATTTGAGGATCACTGAAGACTAAGTGAACCTAGAAGTTCCATGTCAAAGACCATTGAAGTATGGCATAATGCTCCATACCTGAAACCATAGCACATGAGAACCAAAGGGGAAGAGAGGCCCAAATTCAAAACCAGTGAATTCAAGATCAGTCTGAGCTACAGTATGAGGCTCTGTCTCACAAAACAAAAACCAAAAAAAAAAAAAAATAGTTTCGGGAATTTGTTAACAAGCACACACACACACACAAATAATTACATGTAATAAAATTTTTAAATAAAAAAATAAACTCCATGAGTTGGGGATTTAGCTCAGTGGTAGAGAGCTTGCTTAGCAAGTGCAAGGCTCTGGGTTCAGTCCTCAGCTCTGAAAAAAAGAAACCCTCCATAACTTTATGCTACAGGATTATTCTTCCTTTCATGTTACATTGTATAAAATTTTTATCCATAAATGCAGTATACAAACATAGAGACACTGGGGTGAAAAGCTGAAGGTAGCTTTACTAAGCCCTTATTTGTAAAAAAAAAAAAATCATTTTTGTTTTTTAGAATTTCGAGCATTGGTGCTATGTTTACATCATTTCTGCCCATCCTTCCTCCAATTCCTTCCATGTGTTCCCCATTCAGTGTCAAATTTATTACTACTTCTTATGTGTGTAGTGGTGGACAAAGGGGAGAGGCAGAGAGGGGGGGAGAGGGAGGGGAGGGGGAGGGAGAGAGAGAGAGAGAGAGAGAGAGAGAGAGAGAGAGAGAGAGAGAGAGAGAGAGCGAGCAGTGGGAGAGAGCACCAGTTGTCAGGGAAGAGGCTTTCAGATTTGTTCTACTCTGATCCCTCGAAGTGCTGTGTCAGAAATGTGGTGCCTTTAACAGTAGTATCTTACCTCCAAGTTCTGGGAGCAAACCAAGAACAACAGCCAAATCCTGTATTGTTTGGGGGAATCTCTTGGACTCTTCTAACCAAAAACTTGAGGGGAAGTTTACCATGTCTAGGACTGAGGTTATTATTACTCTGTGGTAAGCCCTTAATTTGACATTTGAGAACAGAAAACTGATCGAGAGAGTCAGGAACTTATCTCCAGATCATCTGCTCACTAGCCAATTGTGGAAGTTGAACACAAGCCTAATGAATGTAGTCTGACACCAAGATACTGTGCCACTGTGCCACTGTGCCACTGTGCCACTGTGCCACTGTGCCACTGTGCCACTGTGCCACTGTACCACTGTGCCACTGCCCATTTAATCCATGTGGCTGCAGCTGATGGGTAGAGAACCCAATTTGTTAAAAATTTGTAGCCTTCTCTAATTTCCGAACATCCTTTATCTTTTCCAGTTAAATTGATTCAGAACTCTCCAAATCTCCATGTTTTCCATCTGAAATGTGATTTCCTTTCGAATTGTGAGTCTCTCATGGCTGTGCTTGCTTCCTGCAAGAAACTCAGAGAGATTGAGTTTTCTGGACGATGCTTTGAAGCCATGTCCTTTGGTAAGAACTGTACAGCTTTGACTTCAGATGTTCCTGTGCACAGAGTCATTAAATACTTGAGAATTACATGCCAATAATGTCATGGGAACTGTGAGAACATCTGATCCTCAGCGAGCTCTCACAACAATGAATGAGCTACAGTTAAGAAACTGCAGTTTACCCATAAACTACAGCTTACGTGTTTCATTGTCAGAGTTGTGTCCTCTCCTTAGTCATAGTGATTCAGTCTTGATGTTATATCACCTTTGATCACTTTTGAAATACTCTTTATTTCAGTGTTTCTCTCCTGCATCTGACCTAATTCAATTTTACTTCCTTTTACCAGTCACAATTTTGCCAAATTTTGTTTCTCTGGGGATGCTGAATCTTAAAGGCCAACAATTTCCAGATAAGGAAACATCAGAAAAGTTTGGTAAGTTTGTTTATGAAACAGTGTTCTTTAATTTATTCTTTGTCTCCTCCTTGTCCTCGTCCTCAATGTCATCCTCCTCCTCCTATTCATCCTCTTCTTCTTTCTTTTCCTGTCAACCAACAATGAAGCAAGTTTGAACGGTTGTCCCTGGACTACGGGCTAGGGTTTCTATTGCTGTGATAAAGCACCAGGACCAAAAGCAGCTTGGAGAGGGAAGGGTGTATTTCAGGTTACAGCTCTCAGGTAACACTCTATAACCTTGGGAAGTCAGGAACTGAAGCAGAGGCATGCTGCTTACCGGCTTTTCCCTCATGGATGGCTCAGCCTGCTTTTATATAGCACCCGTGACCACCTGTCCAGGGTGGTTCCAGCCAAAGTGCTGCTGTCCTCTCTCATCAATCAAGAAGATGCACCACAAGCTGTGCCACAAGACAGTCTGATGGAGGCATTTTCTCAGTTGAGGATCACTCTTCCAAAATTACTCTAGCTTGCGTCAGGTTGACATAAAACCACCAGTACAACATCCATGGCAATTGATTCTGGGTCTCCCCTACTGATATAAAATGGTACAGTGTTTGCAAATGACCCCACATCCTCTCTATTCTTTAAGCCAACTCTAGATTGCCTACAATACCTAGTACAATATAGATGCTGCATAAACAGCACTGTGTTGTTCAAGGACTAAAGCATTGTGGCAATGTCTGTACATGTTCAGCATCGACATCATTTAAAAAGATTTCACATCTGGCAAAATGGCTCGGAATATTCCAAAATCTTGATGCCAAGCTGGAAGCCTTGAATTTATTCCTATGATAAACATAGTGTAAAGAAAGAACTGATTTAGGCATGTTGTTCTTTGACCTTCACACACATATTGTTACACACACACACAAACACACACAATTAAGTAAATGTAATAAATACTTGGACAAGTTGTGGGTAGAATGTGCCAACACAGATGGTCAGCTGCACAATCTGTGCTGGTCCTTAAGAAGATGTCATAGCAACACTCAATCTCAACCCCGAGTATATTGTCAAGCTGCTTCCACACATCCTCATGCTTGATCCCATTAAACAAAATGTTCTCAGTGACTTCTTAGGCTAGAATTTGGTCATGATGTCACTGTGTAACTTCATTGTTCCTCATCCACTCTAAAATGCTTTATGCTTTTTGTTCCAAAGGTTTCTGGAACATATCCATACATACATACATATATACATACATAGACACACACACACAGTTTAGAAGCACTATGACTCAGAATTTTTACCATGATAAGTACATAAAGAGTTTCAATACTTATTTAATGCTTTATTTATTTATTTTTATTTCATGTGCATGTATGTTTTGTGTACATGTTTGTCTGTGAGAAGGGTGTTGGATCCCAAGGAACTTGAGTTTCAGATAGTTGTGAGCTGGCATATGGGTGTTGAGAATTGAACCCAGGTCCTCTGGAAGAGCAGCCAGTGCTACCCTGCCACAAATTCCAATACTTTTGACTTAATAAATTATTGAAAAAGTAATGAGTTTACATGGAAATTACTCTTAACAGGTTAAATAAAGGGACAGGGCAGACTGCAGATATATCATACAGAGCTGTATCTTAATGATGTTTTTCAGACTGTATTGTTCATAAGGAAAGCCTGAGCTTCCCATAGAGACAGCAGCGTTCTGTCTTTTTGTCTTTGTCTCTGTCTCTCTCCCTTCCTCTCTGTCTCTCTCTCTCTCTCTCTCTCTCTCTCTCTCTCTCTCTCTCTCTCTTTGTGTGTGTGTGTGTGTTTGTGTGTGAGAGTGTGTGTGTGTGTTGCCCTGGTATCCAGCATTCTAGGCAAGCACTGTATCACTCAGCCAACTCCCAAATCCCTGAACTTGACTTGAGTCCTAAATAAATACTATCTATTCTAAAGAAACAAGAGTCTGTAAAGAAATATTTTATTTCAGAACTGGAAAGTGGAACGTGAAAGATAGGTCTAGAACATTGGCTCATTCTGCAAAGTCCTCTAAATAGTTTCTACAAAGGCATAGTAGTAGAGACTAGTGGTCACTTGATCTAAAGACTGTCGAGCTTAGGGTATATGACAGAAAGCTGTCTGAGTAGTGGATCATGCTTTACTGAGGAGGGTGGGTGTCCTAGAAGTGACAGCTGGAAGTGGAATGGAAGGGAGGGTTCTGAAGGCACTGTGCAGCTAGGAGAGTGACCTTCAGGGGGGACTCCAATTCAGAAGACAAAGTAGAGAGGAATAGGCATCCTGGATTTGGATAGAGACAGGTTGAGGGAGGATGGAGGAAGCAGCAGCAGAGAGCTTCAGGGAGCAGCTGTTTGCTGACCCCTTCTCCTGCTTTTGGAGAGGACAGTGATGAGGAGGCCTGTGATAGGTGGGGCCTCCTGGACTACAGACTGTGTAAGTCATTGACTTTCATGATGGAACAACTCCCGAGGATGGCTCTCTTGTGTCTCCCACAGCCCAGGCTCTGGGTTCTCTCAGGAACCTGGAGGAACTACTCCTTCCCACTGGGGACGGGATTCACCAAGTGGCCAAACTTATTGTCCAGCAGTGCCTGCAGCTTCCATGTCTCCGAGTTTTCGCCTTTCACTACGTCTTGGATGATGACAGTGTGATTGAAATTGGTGAGTTTCCCTCAGAGAATAGGGCTCTCTTGTGTGGAAGCAGTGGCGTCATTGGAGCTGCCTGCTGCAAGCTTCTAGAACCTGGAAAGGCTTCCAAAGGCTTCCTCAATTCCACCATCACCTGCTTCCTCTCCTGTTCTTCTGCAGATGTAGATTAATCCTGGTCTCACTGGGAAGGTCAACAGTGTCTTTTTGTTTAAATCAGATTGTGTGTGTGTGTTGTGTGTGTGTGTGTGTGTGTGTGAGAGAGAGAGAGAGAGAGAGAGAGAGAGGAGAATGCATGTGTTGTGGCAAGAATAACTCAGGTCCTCAGGTTTGTCAATAAGGGGCCCTCACCTGCTGAGCCATCTCAGTGTGGTAACTGTCCATCTTTTCATGGACAGCTGACCGCTTACTCTTGGCCAGTGTTTCAGTTTTACAGCCAGGCAACTGCACTTACACACACCATCAGATAATGATAAACTGTGACATGAAGAATCAAGAAAACGAGGGGACAGCCATTGGTGGGGAGCACAGAATATTCCAGAATATATATTCATTCAGGAAATGAGAAATATACTGACTATCACAGAAGATCCCTATTCAGGACACAAGAGAAACACTTTCTTAGGGCCTCTGTCTCTACACTCAAGCTGCATCATGATTCTGAGTGAAATCTACTCTATCCTTCACCATAATTAGGAAAAGTGGTTAGACCCTGAAAAATGAAACAAAAACTCTACTGGCTCTTCACCTCCAGAGTCATGGACCCAAGCTAATTGACAACTCAGTGAGTCTATCTCCATTTCCTTCAGAGCCCTGCTCTCAGTGACCAGGGAGTCCCATCTAAGCTATAGGTGGAAGTCTCTGCAGTAACCAGTAAGAGGACAAGCTTTTAGGGCTGTCACCTTCCCTTCTTTGCATAAAGGGACTCACTGTTGACACAATTTCTCTGTCCCTTATACTGTGCCCTGGTCCCTAGCTGGGCTCTGCCTTGAACTATGTCCTCCAATGAGACAGAAGAGAAGTCTACATTCCCCCAGACAGCTGCAGTTCTCTGTGCTTGACTTCCTAATGTCTGCTTTCCTCTTCCTGTTTGTTCAGGTAGTTTTCTATCAATCAGGCAGCTGTTTAGTGCTTTCAAAGTTTGATCTCTAAACAACGTGTAGAGCATGTCCTACTTACATTGTTGGGATTTGAGAGTAGTTCCAATAACTTGTGAGCATTATTGATGCCCTTAAGATTCTGTTTTCTTAGGTGTTTTGTTTTCCAGCCAGGGTGGCAACCAGAGGAGGTTTCCAGAAACTCGAGAGCTTAGACCTTTCCATGAATCACAAGATTACCGAGGAAGGATACAAAAATTTCTTTCAAGCCCTGGATAACCTGCCAAACTTGAAAGAGCTGAACATCTGCAGGCGTATCTCAGAATGCATTCAAGTTCAGGCCACCACTGTCAAGGCTCTGGGTCAGTGTGTGTCCCGACTGCCCAGCCTCACCAGGCTCGGGATGCTCAGTTGGCTCCTGGATGAAGAGGACATGAAAGTGATTAATGATGTGAAGGAAAGACACCCTCAGTCCAAACGCTTGCTTATCTTCTGGAAATGGATAGTCCCGTTCTCTCCTGTTGTCCTGGAGTAAAGGATGCAGCTGAAGGCTACTGACAGTTCTAAACACCTGATTTCCTAAAACTATAGCTATACACACTTATACTTCAACATTTAGGATATTGAGGTGGGAGAATCAAGAAGTTCAGATCACCCTGGCTTGCATAGCATGATTCTGTCTGTCTCACAACTAAAGACATAACTAACTATCCTTTTAGAGAGTATCTATTAACTGTGGAGGCTGGTAAAATTTCCCTTTGTTTTCATTTTATATGGATGAGTGTTTTTGCCTTCATTTATTTCTATGGACTACATGAACTGCAGAGGTCAGAAAAGTGTGTTGGGCCCTCCTGGGTTTTGAGTTATAGGTCGTTAGAGACTCCATTTGGACGCTAGTCACCACAACTTCTTCTTCCTCAGTAAAAGCAACAGGTGCTCTTAAACCCTGATTCATCTGTCCCAAAGCTAATAATTTTTTGAAAATCTCCATGCTCATCACTGAACTTAGGAGCTACAATGAACAGTGCCTTTTCAGTCCTTGTATACTTCTGTCTAAAGACTAGGGCATCCTTCAAGTTCATACAAGGAAACTTCTAATACCAAGGTCAACAGGAAAAGGCTAGTAGAAAGAACATTGGTCTATGTAAACCCAAAGAATTGTAGGAGTATTGGGTGGAGGATATACATTGCCTGTTTATAGATTGAGTCAGTCTTATACATGAGGAAGCAGAGTTGACTTTACCACAGGATATAGCTGACTCTCTCTAGGAGATGCTCTTTAGTCTTTGCCGAGCTTTTTGCATATTCATTAGTCTTGGTGTGGTTGTGCATCTATTTGCCAATGGGAGGAAAATATTAGACTTAGAGAAAACTGCTTTTGTTTATGAGAGTTTTTAAGAATTTTGTATGTGCTGTAATGGCCTTATGATTTTCTTAGGAATTCATGGTCTTTGGTATATATATGGTTCTAACTTTTAAAAACTTCATGTTAGAATAGGAATGGCCACCACAGTCTCATATGCATGATAATATGTCATTAGGGAGTGACATTATTAGGAGGTGTGGCCTTGTTGGAGTAGGTTTGACCTTGTTGTAAGTCACTTGCAGTAGGTTTTGAGTTTCAAATGTTCAGGCCAGTCCCAGTCTCTCTCTCTCTTCCTACTGCTCCCTGCCAACCCAAATGTAGAACTCTCAGCTGCCTGCCCAGCTCCATGTCTACCTGTGTGCGGCCATGTTCTCCACCATAATGATAATGAACTAAATTTCTGAACCTGTTTGCCAGCCCCAGTTAAATGTTTTCCTTTATAAGAGACATCATGGTCATGGTGTCTCTTCACAGCAATAGAACACTGACTGACACAATTAATTTACTTAATTATAATAGTAATTTATCACATCACAATGTATATTGAAAAATCATTTTGCACCTGTCTGGCATACCTCAAATACATATGCTTTTTTATCATTTGCTAGTTATGCCTCCATTAAGCAGAGGAAAAAATATTTCTGAAAATAAGTTTTTAATTAAAAAAAAGAAGACAGTGTTTATGTGTAGGGAGTTATATGGGAGGCATTTTTACTTTTCATTCTCTCTGGACTATTTTTGTCTGTACAGTCCCTGAGCAGTGAGTCACAAAAGCCATCAAAGTGGTGGCAGGCCCTTCCTTCCTGCACCAGCCTATGGCCCTCACAGTAAAATGTCACATAGGAGTTGTCCAAACTGGCAGCTCCTGTCAAAATGATGGCACTCTAAGATCTCAGGCTGCACCACAACATCTCAAGCCTATAGCTGTATTGGAGCTGACCACAGTGGTACATCTCCTTCCCCTTCTCAGTTGGAGCGACCCTTCAGGAGCTGTCCATAGTAGCGGCACCTTCTTTCCTGCCTCAGCCTACAACCTTGGTGAAAAGCCACTACAAGAACTGTCCGTGGTGTCAAAACCTCCCCTCCAGCCCCCTCAGAAATCCTGTATAAACACTGGCTCTTTGTCCAATTCCTGGCTGTCTCTCCCTGGAGCAGAGGGCAGCCATCCCTGGATTTGTCCCTCATCCTCCTGGATTCTTACCTTCAATAAATCTCTTTCATAAAATGTACTGCCCGGAGCAACTGTCTCATTGGAAGAAGTTGAGAAGAAAATAAGCAAAGAAGAGAAGAAGCAGAGAAGAAGAGAAGAAGGAGCAGAGCTGAGGCTCTTGAGCTCCATGGTTCAACTGGGGATCCCCTCCCCTGGGAGCTCCCATGCCTCTGCTGAGGAGGCTTCCTCAGAGCTGCATGGTTCCTGAGCTCCCATGTCTCAGGATACCCTTCCCATGGAACATTGTCCCACGTCAGAGCTGTGTGGTTGCTAAGCTTCTTAGGGCAGAAACACCTACAGTCTGTGTTATTGCCATTTTTAATATTAAAATTCTAGCTTGTGGTGTAGCTCAAAGATAATGTGCCTGCTTAGTATTTATGAGGCCCTGAGCACCATCTGAACGAAGATGACAGCAGTGACTGCCAAACTGGATAGGAAAAATCCCAGGATGCCCCAACCCTACAAAAAGAACTACAGGCAACTAAGGGTTTCTGAGATTGGGGAAACAGCTTCCCCATGGAAGAGCACACAGGTTGGTTATCTAAAACCAAATGGTCAGCCCTGAAAATGTTGTGAGGTAGGTCCACCAGAAAACACACATGGGCCCTCTTAAAGCTGGGAAGAAAGTCTGTATCACCAACCAGTGGCTGCATGGGTGTGGGTCCACGGTTCCGGAGGGTATCCCACGATGATCTCCTGGCTGAAGACAGAGAGAGAGCAGGGAGGGTCTGCTACTGTCTCTGCTGCTGCCTCTGCCTGCGTCTCCACTGTCCGTTGGTCTCCGGCCAGGCCTGGTGTGAAAGGTCTGGGCCAAAGGGTACAGAGTGCGAGCAGGGAGGAGAGATTGTCTGCCCCCACTGCTGCCTCTGCCCAAGTCTCCTCTGTCACTGCTCGGTTACTCCCAGGTGCTGTACCTGTCTCTCAGCGCTGAGCTGGCCTGGGCTGGGCCGATAGGAAGCCAGCTAGCTGGCGAGGAAGCAGCTTGGTGCCCCAGGAAGGTTCCGGGAGAGCAGATCTCTCTCCAAGTGTTACAGCTCTAGTGTTACAGCTCTTGTGACAGAGACTCTCAGACACCAGGATGATTCTCGAACGTACCTTTACTTCTCCAGAATAGAGCCCTTATATACAGTTTCAGGGTGGGTTAGGGTCTAGCAGCAGATAATGCCTATTGGCTAGGTTTGAGAGCTTGGAGACACCTCATCTACATGTAGGAGAGTCTGAGGCACTGTTCCTCATGACTGATGGCCACAGACCTCTCTTTGGGAGGAGCTGTGGAGGGCCGAAGCAGAATGAAAAGAACCAGGGCCTGGGGGCAAAAGCCGAACACCTGCCATCCAGATAATGGTCCGGGGTTCAAGACTAGCTCAACCAGCTTCCCAGCTGCTTCTCCCAGCCCAGCACCCCACAACTCCCCCTTTTTCTTTTATAAAGGAGAGGTGTCATCAGAATAAGTGTCTCCAATGTTGGGAACAGTTTGATACTGAACCAAGACCCGCTTGGTAGTTGCCTTTGCAATGCTACTTATTTGTTGCTTTAGAAACTGAATGAGGCAGGGTGCCAGGAGAAGTAAAGCTCCAATGGCTAGTATGGGGCCAAGGAGGGGAAGAATCCAAGCCACCAAGGGGTTAGAATACCAAGGGGTAGGGGTGTTGGGAGCATAGCATGCCCGGAGGTTCCCCCGGAGCTCTTTGAGCATTTGTACATCTTGTTCTACCAACCCAGATTCATTGACATAGAAGCAACATTCCTCCCCCAGCAAAACACAAGTCCCCCCATGTTCAGCAGTCAACAAGTCCAGGGCCCTCTGGTTTTGGAGAGCAACTCCTGCTAAAGAGGTTATCTGGCGTTGAAGAGATTTGAGGCTGTCTGTAGTAGAGGCCATTGCCTGGTCAAGCTTGTCCTGGAAGTCGCTGGCCAGATGATGTATTTGGACAAGGGCTGCTCCAGCAGTTCCAGTAGCACCAAGGGAATGTTCCCATTGGACAAAGCTTTTCTCCTCCTTTCTGTCATGGACAACTCAACATCACATAAAAAAAATCACCCCAGGCCAGGCAAATATGCGCCCTACTAAAGTCCCATGGAATAAAAATAACCAAGAAACAAGCTTCCTGGTTTTGGGAGGAATTCCTTCAGATAGCGCCATGTATGGCTGAGGAAAATATTTACAGTCCAGACTCATGGAGCAGAGTAGCTTCCCTTATCAAAAACAGAGATAAAAAACCTCCTCGTGAGTTTTTGCCGATCTTAGCCGCGGTTCGGCAATGTATAGGGCCATCTAAAATTGTACAGGCTGAGAACAATGCAGCTCCTAGCCCCATCAGTCAAATGAACCCAAAGATCAAGGTCCCAAAAATCACCCTATTTCGGACCTCGAAGCCCTTACTCAACTAATAAGAGAGATAAAATCTATCTACCCACCCCTCCCCCTTTATGCCTTGGAGGAAATGCCAAACAAACCATCTGCTCCTCCCGCCCCTCCCTCCCTCACTCAAAGGCAGGGCACCATTAAAATACCAAAGGAGCTCTCAAGTACCTCTCCCCTTACTCCACCAACTCCTATCCAACCAAAGAGAGATAAATCCCCTCCCCCTTCTCCAAGCTGCAAAAATGAGAGACCTTCAGATAAAACCCTGCCAAATTCCATAGCCCCTTATACTCAACCCTCAACCACTCAGCAACTCTGCAAGTTCAGGGACTCTCATGTGAAAACTAGCCCCGCCTCCCATGCTACTCAGGAGTCTGATATAGAGCTTGAAACCCAAACTGCTGGAGCATTCCCAGTTAATATCAACCCCACTCAAGCTAAACCACTTAACTGGTACCCACTCCAAGCCTCAGACCTAAAAGAACTCAGGCAAGCAGTAAAGGAAGATGGCATTCATGCAAACTGGACAAAATCTCTCCTACAGAGCCATATTGCCAACTTAAACACCCCACACATGGGGACCGTGCCCAGATCATGCACTCCCAGTC